TATATATATATATATATATATATATATATATATATATATATATATATATATATATATACAATAATCTTCTCAGAAACTGGTCGAGAAAAGGTCATTTCCTTCTTCGTGCATAAAACTCAAATATAATCATCTAAACCTGAAATTATTATACTTACCTGTGTAGCAATGCAGTAAGTTGAGGCTCTAATATTACTTCCAGCTCTTTCAACTTTGACGCTGGGCTATCTTTTAGAATACCCGTCTTGCCACCGTTTAATTTCCTCATTATATGCACTTCCTTCTGGTAGGCTATCACCAAACGAAACACAACGGTGTTCTGAAAAATAAAAACACAATAGTTGATAAAAGCTGGAAGTTAAATTTGCCTTCTCATTCGTAAACAGTTTCAATTATAATGATAAAAAAAAAGAAAAAAACATACTTACAAAATGAACAATTAAATAACTATCGAAGGGAATAGCTTGCATTGAATGTTTCTCCTTCAATATTTTTGACAGTTCGATGTAAAAGGCAGTTTTTAGCCGAGCAATAGCGCCCAGATCATCGCCCCATTTTCCACTCTGCTCCATTGTTATTTGCACTATATACAGAATCAATCATATGTCTGATGAAACAAAAAAAACAAATATACCAATTTTTGTCCCTTCAAGGATGTAATGCATTATAAAAAGAAATAATGTCTCAAAATTGAATGAAAATACTACTTGGTGATAGAAAACAGAAACCTTCTACGCTGGGCAAATAAGGTGGTGAGGTGTGTGACAACGGAAGTGCTACAGAATCTTTAATGGCAGCACTGCATCTTTCGACCACTGCATTAGTAGAGAGAGGTGGGAAGGGCTGTAAAAACATTTGAAAAAAAAGAAAATATGATAAAAAAGAAAAAAAAACAAATTATTTAGCTGAAAATAAAATGGACGATACGTTTGGTTACAACATCGTAATGCACAAGACATGAAGTATGTAATTAAATTAACTCTAGGGTTAATTTAAGATTCGACACACATAATACTTTGCCAATAACGAAATTAATGAAAAGTGATTTAATTTTACCACTGATAAGTTGGTTGATAAATTTTTGAGAAATATCGGTGTAAAACTATTTCAGATCAGAAAAAATCACTGAAGTGTTGATAGAATGTAGTCAGCCAACGCAAACTGATGTTCATTATTCAAAGTGATGCAAATAAATTCCAATGAAATGCAAGATTTCATTACAATTAAAAAGAAAATAAGTGAATGATACCGCAGTTCGTCTTAAATAAGTAGACACAGGATGGATATTTGTGATAAGAAGAGGCAAGTCTTGCACCATCCGAAGTATTTGGCATAATTTGTCGTAAGCTCTTCCAATTACACTATACCTGTCCACTGCATTAGGTAAGATCTCTTCCACCTTTAACGTTCGCTCTTCCACATTACACGCTTCTAATTTCAAATGTCTAAAACAATGTAAAATCATCAATACCACTTTCTAATCTTGTAGTAAGTGTAATTTAAGACATCTGATAAGACTGACTACTTTCTTTCATAATAAGAATTCTAGAGAAGATATAAAAACTGTCAGCGATGATTAAAACGTATGATAAACAAACACATGGAAAATCTACCTCTGAAGAATATGTTGGCAAATAAGTGCAGTGACATTATTGGAACCCCAGACAACTGCTTCACAGATTGCATTATCCGGAAACTTGCGCAATTCACAGATTTCACCCCAGAACTGACGAAAATGTACTGCATCCGATGACTTTGCTGGTGGACCACGTGTTAATAAATTATTCCACTTTGTCGAAAGTCGAAATCCAATTAGCAGCGCTACCTCATCCGTAGTACATTTCTCTCTTTCCGTACATACGTCCCACTGCAACCAGCGATTATGTTGTCATCAAAAGTGGTTTTTAATAAAGTATCCTCCTTGTCTTTCGGAAGTTCCCAGCTATTTCCTTTCCAAATAACTCACTATATGAAGATTAACTTTTATTGACACACTCTTCTATGTAAAGTTCAAAACAAAAAAACACGAAATGGATCACTAAAATTGATAAACCTACCGGTGTGATCTGTTGAACAGATGTAAAAAAATCGAAATTCACAATCCTATCCGACAAAGCTTCTTTCAGCAGTGGAACTAGCCTGCGTTTGAATATTAGCAATAGATCGTTACACGTGCTTACGCACTCTGCACTGCACATTTTTTGGAAAGTATTTTGTAGATAGGGTTGAGGTAATCGTATCCTTAAAAAATTTCTTTTGTTATAAAATCATGGCATCGAAACTCGAGACAGAAAGGGATTTTTCTCGAATAAAATACCTGATATATTGGTCGAAAGCTGTAGTAAAAGGATGACTTTTTACAAAAAGATGATCAAATTCACTGAAGCTATTAATCTTGGTTATAGCATCGGTGGCAGCAGTACGAATCTGCTCCATAGCAGTGGCGCTCAAAGATGCAGCCAAATTGAGATATCCTGTATGATCGAGGAATACAAAGTCAAAGTGTGATGAGAACTGTGAGTATAACGCATCATTATCACACAAACCCAATCGAGACTCTTTCCAGTTTATTGATACTGAAATTTATCATTTTACACAAGTAAATTTAGATTAAACTGTTTACTCCCTCTTAAAGATATATCATAAAAACAAATACATTTTTTTCCCATCATCTTAAAATAATAAATTCCTCTCTTTCTGCTTGACTCGTCCCTATTAGTACTTCACTTAGTTAATGAAGATACGACCAGAAAATGAACTCACTGATAGAGGAGAAAAATCCTGTGATAATGTCGAAAACAGATGCCTGAGCAAAGGAAACTTCTTGAACGTTAATGTATATAAGCCACGTTGCTAATAGCAAATCCGAAAAACCATCAACTCTCTAGAAGAAAAAAAACGTATTTTGAGACGGATAATAGGTTCTCTTCCTGCCAAAAATATTTGTAACTATAGCCTTTTGATTCCGAATATACAATGACTTTAGAATTACAGTGAATTTTTACAATCCGGAAAAGGTAAAAAACGGAGAGAAATCAGTTCAAAAGTCTTCTATTTTTTATGGGCCAGATACGCCCTTAAATCGAAGTATGTGAAATAACTGCCTTTAAAGCAAATACTGCTTCAACTAATTTTTGATATGAAACAAAGTAAAGTAACAAAGAATGAGAAGTAAAAGAATACCTGAATGAAACCCCTCTGAAGCATCCACGAACGTATCATAATAAAAGCTTTTAAAAAGTTCGGTCTTTGCTGGAAAAAAGCTTCATGCTTGGATTCAATTTCTTCGCGTAACACATCAATTAATATCTTTGAATTATAGACCGGTGTAGGTGTATCGATACCTGCAATAGCTCATTGACTACTTCGGGAATGACAACGAAAACAGGTTAATTAGATCAACGGTTCGATAGATACCAATTTCAGTGCTTTGAACAGTGGATTTTGTATTCTAACTCAGTATGTTCCGTGATGCTAACAGTAGTGATAATCTTTTACTTCCTTTTTTTCATTCTAATTTCTGTCTGTCTATTTCTACCGTTCTCGTAAGTCTAATCAACAGCAATTTTCAAAACAGCTGCACTCACTGACCGAGAGATCCGAAGTGAGCAGAACAGAAAGAGGGCCTTAAATTATTATTTTCTGGACGAAATCGAGAAATCTTCGTGAATTCTCGAGGAGGTGCAAAATGAATCCGCAAGAATCCATCATTTTCATGTCCTGGAATGGAATCCCAATTAGTTATGATGCGAAAAGTTATTTGTAATATTCACTCGGAGTTTCAAATTTTAAAACCGTTTGTTTTTTTTTCTAAAAATACAGAAAAAAAAATATTTCTTTTGTGGCGTGAAACGTATTAATTACAGCTAATAACAGTAAAAAGATATCGCCTTTTTCTGATAGAAACAATAAAGGTTTCAATGTGTCGAAATGATCCAGTCCAAATTTAACCGACAACTCCGTTTTTATCAAAATCCGTGCTACCTGACAAGCATAGTGAGCACGTTTGACGAAGTATGCAAAATTGAGGTAATCGCGCGAACCAAAATAATCCTGGAACATTCAGAATTGTGAGCTTTTCTTAAATCACCGAGAAAAAAAGTGAAGCAAAAATTATGAGAAAAATAGAGCAAAAAAGCCAATGAACCTGAGGTATAATAATGATCAGATCCAAAACGGGATCCATTTTTGTCTGATGACCAACACGCCAACTGCCTAAGGTATCGATTTTAACAGGATGGATCCAACGACAATCACACGATGATTTAACACTACTTAATTCCAAATTAAACGGTAATGATAATGGAAAACGAATTTTGCCTAAATGCAGTTCCTGCAGATCGTTCATCTGAAATGTTCAAAAACGAAACATATGCAAATAATGTGGAAGATTACTTTTGACTTCAGTAAGATCAAAACTTCAAATTCAGTAAGCATTATCTGATAGCAGCTGACGACTATTACTAGTGAAAAAACTTCATAATATCTGGAAAAAAAAAAGATCTTACACAATAATTTGCTGCGTCACTTCAGGCAACCCTTATAAACGATAAGTGGAAATACACGTAAGATAATTAACCTGATGAGCAATTCTTGCTTCCTTAGCTGCATAAATAGTACTCTTCACTGACTCAGCCAACGTTTCCAGTTTACGTCTTTCGGCATCAGGTAACATGATCTCCTCAATGTAATCATCAATCTGCATGCATACTAATCGTTGTTTTTCACGTTTCCGGTCAATTAATTCCGATGCATCATCTCCCTTGCGCTTCATTTTTTTTTTCCAAGAAAACAATATGAACTGGCGGAAATAACTGTATTACTCGTTTTTAATGTGTCTAAAACTAATCTGTTAATTAAAAACATAATGAAGTGACCAATCAAAGACGGATAACTTAACAATATGATAATATAAATCACCAATAAACGAAGAATTTGATCGCAGGTAGCAAATTAAGTTCGTAATTTAGAAATACCAGTTGAGACAAAGAATAGCAAGCAAACATGAGAATGACCGTTATTCTTCTTTAAACTAGGGAAATTACGCTTGCATGATGTGTCCTAAGAAAATCGCATATGTTTAAGCAGCGGAAAGAAGTAACTGATTTTCGATGTAGAAACATAGGGAAAGATAACATAAATAAAAATGTTGCATGAAAATCTCTATGGCAAGATGTCCATCTTTTCATGAGAAATACATATTGGATCTTGTTACTATACTGGTTGACAAATAAACGGTCATTTGGAGCATATCCTTTTTACTCAATTCTTTTTGATAAATTCAAAACATATACGAAGTATTCAAATTAAAAAATTCTACAATTTTTACCTGCATGAAATTTACACGCGCTAAATCGAAAGCCCGGTCTTTACCAAAACTCCAATCCGGGAAAACATATAGTATGAAAACTGATCAAATAGTGAGGTTTTCGCACGAAATTCAAAATTACAAAATTGATAAACATATAACTGGAAAAAGTACGTATAAGAAAATGTTTTGACGTTATACATCACAGCTTCTATAAAATACGCAATGAAATAAAGTGAAAAGAGATACAGATTAAGAGAGATACTACGCAAATAAAATAACAAAAAAGCCTGTGGAATAATACAAATCACACAGAAGCAATGTATAAGCAAAGATGACAGTTTTTCAATCCCTTCTGACAATAAATAAAAAAAAAAAGAAAAAAACAAGGAAGTTCAGATATACAACAATGGAATAAAGATGAATAAATGGCCATTCTTTTCATGCACCATAGAAAACACACATAATTCAATGCTATCATTTAAGTCTACAAAATCTAAAAACAACAAATAATAAAAAATCTTAAGGGCACATTCCCACATATTCTAGAGCCCAGTATTACCAATAATTAAAATCCTAATGACAGTGAAGGAAGCCAAGTATTATCCTCATCGTTGTGCACTTTTCTGTGGGTATTTATGATAGGCTCGGAAGGTACTATAAATATACGAATCAGTATCACAATAACTCGAGATCAGAATTGAATAATGGCATTTTGCGCACACCACTCCCACAAAATCCTAGTTTTGATTGGGAGAAACTTGCATAGGTTGGTGGCCAATAGCAACTACTCGCTGCATAACGCATAACTTCAGCGATTCATTCCAGCAAGGTATATATAACAAATAAACAATTAAAAATATATATATATATATAACAGAGTAACCAAATATATATATATATATATATACATATAACAGAATAACCAAATAACCTTAGCAGTTCCAATCCAATTAAATTCTTTTATTCTCTGAATACATGTACCTCATTTCAATTTCTGACACGATGTTATGACGAAGAGTTACTCCAAAGATAAACTAAGAGCTTTGAAGTAAACGCGAAGCATCATCTGATGACTGTCGACTATGTGTAGTGCTAGGTCGTCGGAAGAATCGTGTATTCACTGACGGTACCTTTGGTAACGATGAATTTACAAATAAGGCGAGTAATACCATTAACGATCCGAAAAAAAATGGCGGTCCTGGGATTACCTTCTGAAATAATCATTTATTTCATGATAATAAGTCATTTTAATCGCTGCAAAATGGAAATGACAGGACTTCCAGGCTTCTTAGAATTTCGTAGTATTCCAAGCTTCACAGTTTCTCAGTAACACTTACCCAGTTAAATGCCAGTTTCTCAATTGCAGTTTCATTTCGACGCGGTGAAATGATTGGCTGAATTCTTATGCGAGGTACCGGAAAAGGAGGTATGCCAACATGACCCGTACCATCGTTATCCACATTTAAATCCATGTCAAACAAATAGAATATAAAACCGAATAGGGCTGGACCTAAGCCTAAAAGACATTCATTTATAAAAGAAGGTCGAAAAAGAGAAAGGAGAACGCAGTGAGAATTTCACACATTTCTGTTTTTTCATTCTCCAATATTTTCACTTCCTTTTAACTTCTACATCCCTCCAACTTTTTTATGGTGTTACTCAAGAAAATGTGTTATCACATTCAACACGTTAAATTAACAAGTTTTAGCTTCTGTAAATTTTCAAAGGTTTTTCTTTGGAATCTAGCAGAAAATCACATCGGTAATGAAGTTTTGAGAATTACAGATTAAGGATTTTTGAAGAATTTCATTTCAAAACAGCTACAAAAGAAAGAATATGACCTTGGCATAATCCACGAACACCGGTAATGACACCCTGTACAGTTCCTTGCTTATCACGATCGCTGTGTATACTAACAAATGCACTAATTGATGGATAAATCAATTGACTCATCGCTACCAGAAGACCAGCAGCCCACATCATCCAATATTTGGTACCCAAACCATACCTGAACAATCATATTACTAATATGCATCAAAGACAGGGCATACAAAGCTTTTGCATTGGATATGAAACTTTTCGTAAAGCAATGCATATTTCTCAAACTGACCATAATAACTGAGCAAACTGGAATGATAAACCAAGAGTTATTGTATGTTTCGTGCCAACAGTGCTAGTAAGAAGGAAAAGTATGCCGGTCTGAGCAACAACAGACAATATACCAACAAGTCCTGTAAAATATATTGACATGCGCTGTGACAATCTTATCGATACACTCAAAAGTCTATTTAAGACTCTCAGTGATTTAAAATATCGATAGCTTTCCCAGTAACGTGAGCTAGAGTTACACGCAATAACCGACATATCAACGTAAACGATTTCTGCACGCATTGCTCAATTCTATGCATTATCATTAGGACATGGATATCCGCAATACCATACCCCAGCCAACTAAAGTCATACAGGGGCAACAAAGTTTCGTCATGGATCCTCAACCTCTACTTGATTTAAGTAAAAGAATTATGATCATCATATTCAATTTTACCTAAAACAAAAAATAAAAGAGGTAGGAATATTTGACCACTTACCGATAAAAATGGCGACTGCTTCCGGAGTAAAACCAACCATAAGCTTTAAATAAACGAAAAAACAGGAAAATTGACCAGCTTCGGGAAGATAACTTAAAAAAATAATAGCAGCCAAATGAAGCACCAAACGATCTTCCCAAACAATTCGTAATGTTGCAAATGGATCGGCTCTCTGCCAGCGAAATGCATCTACTGCTCGACGATTACGGGAAGGTAATGATTCTGGCACTAACAGTAATATAAACAGTACATCCAAACTTGCAATTACTGTGGCCTACAACTAATATCAGTTATGATTAATTAGGACCAATCTCCTCCTTCCTTACTTTCTTTTTAACATATTTGTATTAATCCGAAATAACTTATGAACAAGAGATAAACAGTTGCCCGAACTGCTCATTAAAAGGTACTGAAATTGAAACGATAAACATACAAGTAAAACAACGCTATCATCACCCCACGACTCTGAAATCCATGCTCCAAGTGCTGGTGATGTAACTAAAGATGCTGCAAATGTGGCAGAAATGAGGCCGTAAGCAGTTGAACGGTCAGCTTTGTCGGTGATGTCAGCCACGTATGCAAGTACAACACTGAATGTTATCGAAAATAGACCACTAATTGAAAACAGAGCAAAATACCACCTGAAACAAAAAATTTTATTCCACCATTACAGCATCGATGCTTCCTTTCTGCAACTTTTATTTAGTGAATTTACGAGATAAAAAACAAAAAGTTCGACCTTCCGTACTCCTTGAATCCTCCTATTTCTTTTTTGTTAAAAGTACAAAGCAATAAACAATCACCAACCATGGGCTGATTTTAAGGCATGGTATAGGCATGCATGTGAAAAATACAGTAAGCAGCAAAAATGACTTGCGTCCCCACTTGTCCGATACAGCACCAAGCAGTGGCGCACTCAAAAACGAGAGCAGACCTTTGATGCCAAGAATCACACCATTCATTAAGAATTTATTCGTAGGGAACGTATCGGCCAGTACCTGCAAAATTTGTCATATACAACAAATTAAAAATTTGTTACACTCGTGAAATACGTCAACAAGACCAATCATCCTGCTTATTTCAACCATTATTATTTCAGGATGGAATGGCCAAAAGAAACTTGCACATTACAATTTATCCACATATCTATGGTTTATAATTCATTGTAACATCAACAAAATCGTTCACACTTTTCACGAAGTATTCCACTTCGTGATATATCGTCCATAAAGGAGTTTCGAACATCCACAATAAGTACTGATTCACTTTACCCCAACGATTACATGAAGAAATCTGTGCTGCACCCATCATAAATCCTTATTTTGTTTTGATAGCAAAGATGAATATTGGCGCAAAAAATGAAAATAAAAAAAGAAAGGAGGACACCAATCTATACAAATAAAGACGAACATTAATGACCGGTACGGTAAGTAATCCCCAGGCGAAATATTCGAGGAAAATGACGATAACTGCATGATGAACGCTAGCTTCACAGCAGCCCACAGTGGTTCCATCATGTGCTCGACGTAGCCTTCTGCCAAACAATACCTCGAAAATACGAGTACTTCTTACCATTCGCCTCTACTCCACCTGAAATGCAGAAGTATTAAATTCATGCAATCCTTCCCGACCAATCATTTCTTACCTGCAGCTAAAAGCTTCCCCACTGTCGAAAACCTGTTTTCAATATTGCACAGCGTGTTTACAGTGTTCTATCTACTGTCTTCTTATAAGAACATTCGTATCCAACATTCAAACACAAACCGGATCTGAAAACTGTTTTATGTGGAGGAAATAAGTATGATGCCGGATGCACATTCCGGAATCCCCAGTGAAAAACCAATCAGACTGGGAGACAGACAGAAATAGGACAATACCTAAATATATCCTAAGTATATTTTATGGGGATAAAAACATTTCAACAAGGACCATTCTTGCAAATAATAGCGTCATTTCTCAGAAATAGTAGCCTGGAATAATCAGTCTGTTCTGGTCGATATTTTATAACACCACTACTATCATTGAAACATCAGAACAAAAAATAAAGAAAAAACAAGAACAAAAAGAAAAAAATGGGGAACCTTGCGAGGTAATATATATCCTCGTCAGGTGAGTCGGCTATTCGTTTCACACGTTGGATGTTTGGAATGATAATTGGTGTTCGAAATAAGAAGCCTACCGGTGGTTCACTTCCTGAATCCATTCCACATATATTTATTGTGCCATACAAATCGTGCAAACCGTTAATACGAGATCGAAACAAACATTACCTGAATGATAACGGCATATCATCCCCACCTCAACCATAAATTACGAGGATAAAGTAAACCATCTGGAAGGAAAAACCAAAAGTACAATGTAGCATGGTATGTAATCCTTCCATTAATTTCAAATGCAGTGATTATTTAATTTATGCATGGAAATTATCCTAAATAAAGAAGAATGCAAACACATCGTCTTCATCCTTTATTTCTACATTCTAATACTACTCTTTCTCTCGTTCTCGTAGATTAGTCAAATTGTAAATGCGCAGAAGAAGATGGAAGCTATTTGCACGGTTGGATCAAGAATGCTCGGTGCTGGTGATAAGTATCCCGTGGTCAAAAGCGCTATATACCGAAATTGAGTAAAACTAAGTGATAAGAATATATTTATGTAATGTTTCCAAGTTTTCTAGCCATACGATTAGCTATGAATGACACACAAGCAAGCATTTCAAATAAGGATTATGTTAATTATCACGCAATTCACATACTTTAATACAATTGGTGACATTGTCGAGTGGATAAAAATCATTCCAACGTTCATTTACAGTGCTGTGTAAAATGACGGAAAAAAAAAAAAGAAACTCACATCTAAACAAATATAAATGTCACGTAAATCTTATCCTGAAGAAATAAGTCAATCTCGGTTTGTCGCAACCACGCATGTCACGATAACTGTCCCTTTCTTTGATAAAGCAGTATCTCCATGAAAATTAGCGTTTCAGTATGGTTAACTAATGCTTTTTGTTCTCCGAGATACCAGAATTATTCAACATCAGGATGAAGCGGGGGTTTAGCAATGATTTAGGAGATGATCTCATCCTTTCAGTTAACCTATTTTTGTCCTCTCGATACTTCTATTTTCTTTCGTCTGACTTTATTAAAAATGACCCATTACTCTTTGCATCAAGAAGATTACTTTTTTTGCACTATTTAAATATCAGAATATCGTACTAATGTTCATCTAAGGTGAAAGGTCAAGCTATTTTTGTTTCGAAGAATTAATACCATTTCATACACATACATTGCAAGAAATAATCATAAGATAATTGTAGTAGTTCTTTAAAAAAGAGGATGTTCCTTGCTGGAAATTGATCCTAAAACTTATGAAATAGTAACACAAACAAGTTTTACGCACTTGATCACCAGATACTTTCAAGAATGCGATTTACTACCATGCACTTCCAAGAATGCAATTGACCGTTATATACTTCTAAAAATGCAGTTGACCACTACGTACTTCCAAAATCTCAGTTGACCACTACATATTTCCAAGATAGTCCATTGGTATAAACAGAAGCAAACATGGATATTACAGTTATATTTTAGAGGAGAGATATAGTAATAACTGTGATGATAATATTCTAACCTTGATAATGAAGTGACCTTATTTGTTTTACAAAAATTTAAGTCATGTTTATTGTTTGAAGTTTCGCTTAACCTTTAATATGGAATTGAGCAAAAAGAAGAAGATAATGGAAAAAAAAATACAGGTTACCTTTTTATTCATTCATTACCATCTTTACAATGGTACTGTAACGGTGATTCAAATTATATTCCGATCACTACTACCGTAGGTTAGCCTTCTAATAAACAATTCAAACAAGTCAGCAAAGAATACACTAATATTAGTCAAAAATTCATCAAAAGAGAGAGTATGCAACTTGTATCTACCAGCCAAAAACACTCAGCAACAATGACATCATTTACAGTAAGGGTACGAGAAGTGGTTAATGGTACCGGAAACAACAGTTACAGTAGGAAAAGTTACGGTAGCAGCAGTTACAGTAGGAACAGTTACAATAGGTATTAGAGTTAGAATAAAAGGAATGGAACAGTGAACTAATCTAATTGTGGTTACATTTCTATTAATATCTCTAATCAACGATAATAAATGTACATATCAAATACTTGATAGCAGTTATAAAATACTATCGAAATATATGACAATGAAATGTTGATAATGATGATAATAATCATCGAATTATGATGGTGTGTTCATGAACAATTGATTAAATGATCATAATCACCAGATAAGACTTAAAAACTTTAGATAGAAATGGTGGGAAGAAGAACTTGGCAAACTGATTAATTCCTAATTATTTCAAACATATTAATCATAAAATGAAACTGCTATCACTAAAATGTATCCATTGATTTACCAAATTTACATGATAAGCAGACAACCCGCGAATCCTCAATGTTGAGAAAATTCCAAATATGCGGGAATTGCAAAGAATGCAATCAACAGATATTACCAATAATTATCTTTCGTTAATCTCTTTTTGTTTTTGCATCATTTTACTTTTCGGATTGTACAATCATTCATTTCTCTTTATTCTACCAACATAATTTTTTAAATATCAATATGAATCCTACTAAAAAATCTATCTTTTTAGTATTATTTTACAATCTCAATATTAGGGAAAATATCATATTACTGTACTGATTACCGTACCCTACAGATGTGTCTATTTTCAGTTAAATGTTAGAATATGATTAAGACGATTTGTTCCAGAAAATTTATTAGCTAAATTTTTTATGCAAATTTTGAAACCTGAAAACTGGAATGATAAGGGTTTCTTCCAAAACAACTGGCAATCGTGTAAAATCTATTTTTCATTGAGTGAACATCATTTCTTTTCTTTTTTCCTTTTTTTTTTTGGTTTGCAAATAATGATACCAAAGAATGAGGTTCCAAAATCATCTAATTGTCACAAAAATAAATGTTAATATTTGGGATACTTGATTATCAGTTATCATCAGATTCGATTTATTCCACTAATCCTATCAGTTTATCATGTTACTTACTCACAAAGAAATCATTACAATAATAATAGAGGTACGGCTCATACTGATATTATATGAAAGAGGTACCATATTACTGTACCGATTACTGTACTCTGCAGATATAACAACGACAAATTAATTTATAATTAGAAATAGTATTGGCAATATTTTTGATCAAAAATTAATTTGTCATTGGAATTTTCAATTGTATTAAATTGGTGAAGAAAAACTTTCAATTGATTACTTTTCGATACTTTTTACATCCTTCAAGTTAATTAATTTTGTAATTTCTTTTACAGGGTACACTTAATACTGATATGATATATTGGTGCTATTGTTAGTTAAGCCATTTTATCGAATAGTTAACTTTAAATCAAATTTAGGATAAAATAAAGGCTTGCGTATCGATAGGTAGTGAAAATCGAATTAATCATGAGTCATACCTTTTTATCTCTGGATGAGTTAGAACGATGCTTGACTTATGTTCCTACATACGGTAAGTTACAGTAATCTTACTAAGTTATGTAAAGTGTGGACAAAGACTGAAATACAGCAGGAATGTTATTATCGATAGATAAAATCTCGAATGGGTTTTGGAAGATAGATGAACAGGTTCCAAGATGTAACCAAATATAGCATTTATTCGTCTGAGATCTAAGATTTTCGTAGTGGTACAGCAGGGCAGGATTGGAAGGAGGTTATCTGGCGGTAACGTTCCATTCAGGATTGAGGCAGAAAATAGGGTTCCAAGATTTCCCGGCGAGTAACAGATTGGTGGAGATTGTTAGTTCTGGAAGGTTAATTGTGAATTCCTGAGTTATTGATAATCGTTGGTTTTTGGATCAGTTGAGATTGTCAATTTCCGAGTCATCTGAAATTTTTGAATTTTTAAACAACTTGAAGCTGATAGTTTTCGGACAAGTTAATAGTGTTAGTTTTTGGATAGATTACTGAGTAATGTGATATTTCAGGGCTGCCGGGTATGACTGATTGTCTGAAGGGAGAAGAACTTGTATTCGCCTCAACTTATACATTCCAACCTATTCGGGTCATCCGCATTTCAAGTAATATCTCCTTTCTTTTTTTTGCTTTTGAATTAAAAAAAAAAAACCATAACAATTCTGATTTCCCACCTCCTTTTCGTTGGCTTAGCTGAGAAGCTGAACAAGCGTAAAGATGGTTTGTAGCAAATATGCTTGCGAAATATTTT